TGCATTCCCCCCACTTCTTAGTCCTAGTTTAGGAGTAATATTTAGTATATCTCAATTCTTAGTTAGACTTTTATGTTGGACATATTTACTTTAATTATGTTTCTTTTAATTTAAGGAGCTTTTATCTCAATATTAGTTGTATGATCAATGGTGAATATTTTTGTTATTACCTTTGATTGTTTTTATTTTTCTGTTATTACCTTGATTGTTTTATTATGTTATTTCTAATTCGTATAACGCCAATCTAAAACAAATATGAATATAAACATCATCAAACATTTGCTATTAGTGACAAAAAAGTTCACTTTTGTACAATTTTTAGGAATATCACATTTTCGTCACGAAACAAATTAAGTTCGCCATAAATTCACTATATTTAGTGACAAAAATAATTTATGTCCCAAATCATCTTTTTATTGACTATGTATCAACTTTATATTTTTTGACAATTGTAATTGTCACTAATTATGATAATTTATAGTGACTACTTTGTTTTGTCGATAATTTTTTTTAGTGACGAGATGATAGTTTTAACTACAAAATTATAATTGTCACTAATTATATATTTAGGGACGAAATACTTTTTTGTAGATAAAAGGCAGTCTTTAGTGACAAAATTACGGGTTTTCAACTACGAAATACACATAGCTTTAGAGAAATTTGTCGTCATCACTAATTAAACTAAATATTCAGCGACGAGGCAGCTTCGTCGACATTAATGAACTTTTTAGTGACGAAATCATACTATTAACTACGATTGTTTTGTACTTTTTATGACCAATAAATCCGTCATAAATATTACGTATTTGGGGACGAAAAAGAATTTTGTATTTAATATATCATTATTTGGCGATGAAACACAAAGTTGCCTTTGTATGTTATTAGTAACGGTGTTTTAGAGACGAAAGATTGACAAAAAAAATTCGTCACAAAAGATCTTTGGCGACAAAAAGTGAATCATAGGTGACAAAATAATTCATCACTGATAATCAAATTTCTTATAGTGGAATAATGTATTAGTAATAATAATTTTGTATTAACGACAAAAATTCAAAAAATTATTTACACAATTCAGAATGAAAGAAAATAAAGGTTGTAAAATATACATTCCATGCACGTAATATAAAAATAACTATTTAAATAAAGGAATTTTTATAATATACATTATATATTCTTGAAAGTTATGCTCAATTATATTATTAATATTTGTAAAAATAATTATTTAAATAAAGGAATATTTATAATATACATTATATATTCTTGAAAGTTATGCTCAATTATATTATTAATATTTCATGCACGACTTAACATAGCATATTTTACCCAATGCAGATAGTTCCCCTGCTTTCCGGTGACATAACTGTGTCATCCGAAAGTTGGTATAAACATAATAATATGATTGAGCATAACTTTCAAGAATATATGATGTATATTATAAAATATTTTTATTTAAATAATTATTTTATATTACGTGCATGGAATATACTTTACAACCTTTATTTTCTTTAATTCTAAATTGTGTAAATAAATTTTTGAATTTTTTTTGTTAATAATAAAAAGTTAAAAAAAGAAGATAAATGTTTATAATTTAGAGGGAAAAATAGGTATTTGGCAATCCAAAATTTAGAAAATCTAGTTGAGTGACCTTCTGAGTGCAATAACCATAATTCAGTGATTTTGTTATTACAAACGAAAAAAAAGTGACTTAATAAATAATCTGAGATAGTTGAGTGACCATTTGAGTATGACTCCATAATATACGTAGTGACAATAGTTTGGCAGCGATGATAGTTTGGGTTAATCTCGTATCTGTGCCTTGTCCTTATAAGATGTTCCAACTAAAGGCTATAAAACATATCCATTCCCTTTATTAGTTGAATTTCTGCTATACTTGGCAACCTGGTAAAATCAAATACTACCTTCATCCATTTTATTATTTTTCCGCAGTACTCCTTAATAAATTTACTTATCTCAATTGTATTTATATATCTAAACCATCTCTTATATTTCCTTTTTTAAATATTTTACTTAAGAAAAATTCCTCTAACTGAAACAGTAAATGTGAATTAGGAAAAGAGAGGTAAGACATTTTTATTATTTTTCTAAGAAATCAAATATTTAAAATTAATATTCCCTCCATTCTATTTTATGCGGCAAAGTTTGAACAGATACGGAGTTTAAAAAAGAAAGAAAGATTTTTTGAAATTTATAGTCTAAAACAAATTATGAATATTTGCATGACACTAAATTATCTCATTAAAGATAAAATAGAATATTTGAAGTTAAATTTTAATATTGTCATATAAAATGGAGAGGAGAGTAAATTTATGGAACGACTAAGCTTTGAGAAAGGAAACTAGGAAAGCAAAGGGGTACTCAATGGTTTAACTGAACAAAATCCAAGGAACGGCTAAATAACAAAACATGAAAACTAGTAGGGGCCACTTTCCTCTTTGAAGCATCCAATAAGTACAAAAGTTAGACATATATTATTGCATTGAGGGTACTTTATTATCAATTACACCATTTAGAGATTAGATTTGCTAATACTACTAGGATTATCTCTAGTCCTTTTGTTTTTCCCCTTGATATTACTATTGTGTTAACTTAAGGTTATTCAAAAAGTAATCATACAATTTACTACAAAGCCGTTTTTTCTTAATGTATCGATAAGCTTTTGTTTGACAAGTGTCATAATTAGTTCCTAGGGAAAATGGGCGGGCACTCTTTGTTTTGTCACGACACAAATTTAAGTGGTGATCATCTATTTGCTTCGAGAGGAAGCCTATGCCAAAAGGCTCCTAATAATCATTCCTTATATCATGTCATAAAAAAGGAGAAGTTGGATTATTAACTTAGAAAAATCTTCCAAAGGATGAAATTTTCAATTCATCTGACAGGCAGGTAACTATTTTGTATTTGACTGACAGGTCTTCTCGCCACACAAGGATGCCTTTCAAAGGATATAATTGAACGATGAAGAACAGCCTACAAAAAGAAAACCTAAGGTAAAATGAAGAGCCAACTCCGAACTTGGGATTAGTGCGCATTTACAATATCTGGTCAAATTATGTCTATACAATTAAAATGTTTTTAGAAATTATATTATTATTATTATAAATATCTATATAGAGTTTATACGTATTAGTATTAAAAAGTAACGGTAAGTGAACAGTTCTTTGAACCCACTAATTTATAGTTTAGATCCTTTTATAATTTTGGAAAATGTATGCGATATTTTATTACATCAGTTGTCCAATTGTTATAATATCTCTTATTTTTAGATTATTAATCTCTATAATTGGATTGTAAATTTGTTTTGTAAACTATCAGTGTATAAAAAGATTTATAAATCCCTCAAGTCAATATAAACTTAGCTAACATGCACCATTAAAAACAAAGATTCATAGGTATATATTTATTCGGGAAAATTTTTAGTCTTGTTATAGAACTTCTAATACTATTATTGGTATTACTAGTATAATATAGAACTTCTAATATTATTATTGGTATTACTAGTATAATATATATTCATTAACTAACTTTTTTCATTTAGTTTATTTAGAATTAATAATGACGTGGGTTGAGCGTAGCCGATTTCAATTTATTTGGTGTGTACAGAAAGTAAAATCAATAAAGACTTTTATTTGTTTGACCTCATTCAAGAATTATTTTTGGTCAGTACTTTCGCGGGAATCAATAGGAAAGGTATTTGCTTTGAATATGAAGGTTTGACTTCATGATTTAATTGCAACATCTTTGCTTGAGTATCCAAGCAAAGTTTTATTGGTGGAATTCAGCTGAAATTGGTAAAGACAGAGGGAGTAAATGCTGCAACGGTCACCACCTGAATCTGAAAGGTCTGAACCGACCGTTGGCTCATCACATGTCAATCCCACCGCCATTGGCTCGTGATCATGTGCCTACACTGGCGTCTTACCTTCTCTCTGGAGCTGCTGATGCAGAGGCTGGATATATTGATTTGTCTCACATACTATTCCCTCCAATCCAATTTATGTGAACCTGTTTGACTGGGTACGGAATTTAAGAAAAAATAACACTTTTGGAAGTTATGGTGCTAAACAACTCAAAAAGGGATCCAGAGTATTTGTGTGGTTATAAAAGCTTCTCATTAAGGGTAGAATATTAAGTTTAAGCTAAATTGTTTCCAAATTTAGAAAGAGGTCATTCTTTATGGAACGAACCAAAAAGGAAATAGGTTCACATAAACTGGAACGGAAGGAGTACTACATACTGGAGATAGAAATTAAGATTTAAGAATATGGAGCTCAACTTAATTCAGTTGTTAAGTATTTTGTAGGTTTTGTGACAGAATAAGTTAAGATTGTCCTCGTTTGATTGGGGAAAAATTTCTTCAGCAGTAGCCAGCTGAATATATTTTAAGAAGAATAAATTCGCATAGATGATTTGTTCAATTACCAAAAAATTCATGTAATTTCTAAAAAAAAATTGAACTATTTATTTAAGCGTCGGAATACAAATCAGAGAGAGGTTTGTTGAGATTATTTTTCTATAACTTGTAATGCTTTGTATTTATTCTTTTATTCTTTCATACTTGTATTGGTTATTAGGCAAGTTAGCTGATGTTAGGTAGTTATCTAGATCCTATAAATAGGACATTAACTGTGTAATTTTTCTTTAAGTTGTAATAATGAAAATCAGCTCCTTTTTCTAGAAGCTTCATTTCATGCCTCCTCTCTCCTTTTGTGCGATCTGCTCTCTTCCGCCATTAGAGCTCAAACTGAGCTCATCTCTCTCACCTTGACCATCTCTGGATTTTCACATGGTATCAGAGCAAGGCAACGACCTAAAGCTTCATCTCCTTACAATTTTCGTTCCTCTACTCACAAAATCAGAAATTGATCATTGCTACTCGTCCTTTGGGAATTAGGGTTCCTGTGTGGAAATCGATCAATTAGACGATTGATTCTAGTAATTCATCTTCGCCGATAGCGATTTCATCCTGGTCGAGTTGAATCATGGCCGGAGAAAACGAAGTCCCGGTGACGGACAAAACAATCCTAGATTCAACAAGTCCACTGTACATGCATCCATCGGAAAGCGCTGGATCTATGCTAGTTCCGGTAGCTTTTGACGGAACCGGTTATAGATCATGGAGAAGAGGAATCCTCAGAGCACTCTCCGTGAAAAACAAACTAGGGTTCATCACCGGAAAATGTAAGAAGCCAAATCCTGATTCTGTTAACCTTGATCAATGGGAACGATGCGATGATATGGTAACTTCATGGATCTTAAACTCATTGTCTAAGGACCTAGCGGACAGCTTGCAATAAGTCAATGATGCCAAAGAGCTTTGGCAGGAATTAGAGGACAGATATGATCAAAATAATGATGCTAAGTTGCATCAGCTCCAAAAGGAAATAAATGATCTGAGCCAAGGAAATTTGGACATCACCGGATATTATACAAAGATGAAGAAACTTTGGGAAGAACTTAACACGCTGAACATACATGCCAAATGTGCTTGCAAATGCACTTGTAGAGCAAGAGAAAACATGCATAAAGCTGAACAGGATAGAAGATTAATTCAATTTCTGATGGGGCTCAACGAAGTGTATACTGTCGTGAGAGGAAGTATTTTGATGATGAACCCTCTCCCAACAATAGCCCAAGCTTTCTCCATTCTCATTCAAGAGGAGAAGCAAAGGGAAGTCAAACCAAGTAACAATTTTTCAATGGATTTTGCTGCCTTGAATACGAGTGGATCAGGAAATAGCAATTTCAGAACAAACTACAGTCAATAGGGAAACAATAACACCTACAATGGATATAAGGGGAATCAGCTCAATAATAGACCTAGACCATTCTGTGACTACTACAAGAGGCCAGGGCACACTAAGGATAAGTGTTACAAACTTCATGGATTCCCACAGAATTCCAAGTTCAATAAGGGAAGAAGAATTGCTGGAAATGTGTTTGGGTCATCAAATGAAGCTGCTGCAATGAAGGATGATGGAAATGGCCCTCAGGATCAGAAACAGAGTCGACACATGCACAGTCTGACCAAAGAACAATATGGCCAACTACTCAACATCTTGGAAAGTTTTCAAGGAGGAGGAGACAAATCCACAAGCAATACCATCAATGGAGGAGCTGTGAACTTTGCAGGTATCTCAGCATGCTCTATTCACTTTGATTCTAGTGACCATTTGTGTGTTAGTTCTAGTCCAAATGCTGACATCTGGATCCTTGATTCTGGAGCCACAAATCATATGACGCATAACAAATCAATCCTAACTAATATTAAAGCCTTAGTTTACCCATACTTAGTCACCCTACCAAATGGCTACAAGGTTAAGGTGACACTGATTGATGATGTAATTCTAAGTCCTAAATTCAATCTCAAGAAGGTCCTTTTTGTCCCCAGTTTTAAGTTCAATATGATATCAGTCCATTCTTTGACAGTTCAGCTTGGTTGTATTGTAGTATTCACCAAGTACATTTGCATTCTTCTTCTGGGCCCTTCACTGAAGAGGCCACTGGAGATTGGTAGAGCCAAGACTGGTCTGTACTTACACTGTTCAAGCAACTGCAACACTGGTTCAACCTCCTCTAGTTCTTCTAGTGCATCCATTCCATGTTTTACTAGTAATAAAGATAAGACACATTTTGTGGTCAACACATCTAGTTCACTTTCTTCTTCTCAACTAGCTAACACAAATAAACTGGTTTATACTATCCCTGTTGCTTCCACTATGGTTACCCCATCTCATAGTAGTAATAGAAGTAGTCCACTTCCACATTCACATCATTCTGTAAATAGTTCAAGTAATAAAAGTGACTCTTCTTTGTCTAGTAGTTCCTCTACTACAGAACATTTACTTGATCTTTTGTGGCATAACAGATTAGGACATGTACCTTTTGTCAAAATGAAAGGGATTTCCTCTATACCTGTCAACTTTGCACCCAAACAGCCTTTTCTTTGCCCTATTTGTCCAATGGCAAGACAAACCAGGCTGTCTTTCCCAGAAAGAACAACACTGGCTACCAAAATATTTGAATTACTACACATTGACTTGTGGGGCCCATATCATGTTGCAACACATAACAAATACAAATACTTTATTACCCTTGTAGATGATTACAACAGGTCCACATGGACTCACTTATTACGCTGTAAAAGCAATGCTCTACACACTATTAAGGTTTTTTTTGCTATGGTAGAACAACAATTCAATACTAATATCAAGACCATAAGAACTGACAATGGTCTTGAGTTCACCAGCCTTGAAGCCACCTCATTTTTCCAATCAAAGGGCATTATACATCAAAGAACATGCCCATATACACCACAACAAAATGGTGTGGTGGAGAGAAAACACAAATACCTGTTAGAAACAGCCAGGGCACTCCTTAATCAATCAAGATTACCCGTGCAGTATTAGGGAGAGTGCATTCTGACATCTACTTACCTAATAAACAGACTACCCTCTTCATCACTCAAAGCCAAATGTCCATTTGAACTCCTGTACCAGAAAAAGCCAAGCTACTCTCATCTCAGAAGTTTTAGTTGTTTATGCTTTCCTACCACTCTCAAAACATACAAAGATAAGTTTGAACCAAGAACTACTCCCCATGTTTTTGTGGGATATCCCTTTGGGACAAAAGGCTATAAGGTACTAAATCTGTCCACTAAGAAGATAAGTATTTCAAGAGATGTAGTATTCCATGAGAATGTGTTCCCATTTGTTTTGTTCACTGAGTCAAGTAAAGTTTTCCCCTCATTTCCTCAAATGAAATCATACTTGTCAGATGAACTGTTTCCTTCTAATGATAAAGGAAGTATTCCACACTTAGTGAATGGTAATGCTCACCATTAAGTGTCACCAGGGAACCTGTCCAGGCCTAAGCCCGGTTCACCTCCATCTAACCCTCATAATGATGACTCCAGACTTTCTCAGTCACCCTTGGGGAGCCAGACATCAGGAACCTTTCCTATTCCTGATAGTCCAAGAGAGGCTTCTCCTAATGCTCTTCATACTCCAATTGTTATAATCCAGGATCAAGGAACTTCAGTCTTAAATCAGAACAGACCCTCTAGAACTCTGAAAATTCCTACCTATCTTAAAGACTATGAGTGTATACTTCCCAAACTTTAGCAGACTCATCAGAACCAATCAACCTCTCCAAATGATAGCCAAAGCACACAGTCTTTTTCCTTCAATACCTCTGTACCCAAACCTCTTGATAATTCACCTAATGAAGAAAATTCCATTTGTCAGCATTTGATAGGAACTGGCTCACATGAATGTGAACCTAGATCATATGAGGAAGTTGTTGTGAAGCCTGCCTGGCAAGCAGCAATGAACCAAGAATTCCAAGCATTGTATGCAAATAAGACTTGGGACTTAGTTCCTTTTCCAATTGGAAAGAAGGCAATAGGATGTAAATGGGTGTATAAAATCAAACATAAGGTAGATGGTAATGTAGAAAGATTTAAAGCAAGATTAGTAGTTAAGGGCTATACACAACAAGCTGGAATAGATTACACAGAAACATTCTCACCTATAGTAAAAATGACAATTGTAAGGGCTCTAATAGCAATAGCAATCAAAAAGGGGTGGCAGGTTCTACAGTTAGATGTTAATAATGCATTCCTTCATGGGGATGTCCATGAAGAGGTATACATGGAGATACCACCAAGCCTAGTTGTGGAGTCACCAGGTTTGGTGTGCAAATTAAACAAGTCCCTGTGTGGACTCAAACAAGCAAGCCGACAGTTGTATGAGAAACTAACTGAAGCTTTTTGTTCTATGGGATACACTCACTCAATGCTTGATTATTCTCTGTTCTATAAGAAAAGTTGTATAGGGTCAAATTTGACCCTCAGCATCTCTACGCCAGTGGGTACGCCCAATGAGTGTACGCTTGCCAACGTAACGGGTACGACTCGGCCGTGGGGGCAAAAGCGACATCGTTTAGGACTCAATGTCTTCACTAGGGAGACGTTACCTATCTTTGTAACTTTTTGATTCTTTCGAGGAAGGTCTCCTATTATATAAAGAAGACCTTCACATTGTAAAAGGGGCATCTGATCTAATACAACTCTCTCATTTTTTCTGGCTTTCTCTCTCTATCTCTACTTCAAACGAACGTATCTTATTGAGTTCATACTGTCTCTTTGCAATACTAGATCTACAACAATATTATCATCTTTGCATCTCTAGGATTATTATATTTGATTACGATTTACCCCTTTCCTACTTTTGATTGTTTTTTAGCTTACAAAGTATATTGTTAACTTTTGAGCCAAACAATTTGGCGCCGTCTGTGGGGATTTCGAGAATCAAAACCATAGTATCCACCTGGAGATCAACCAACTACCACTCTCTACACTTCAAAAAAAAAAAACAGAAAATGGCCGAAAATAACACAAGATTGAAAGTTATATTGGGTGTCACTACCAATCTCCTTGACCCTCTCAACGAGGCCGGTGACGATGGCATCCTGAATGCAACCCCTAGCATCACACCGGGTGCAGAGATCTCACCTTCCCCACCCGAAGGTCTGACGATCTTGCACGAAAAAGGAGCTTCCACATCTGCGGTTACGGAAGCACCCTCAGCGGTCAAAGAGCTACTGGAAAGATGGCTAACAAGCGCTCTAAGTGGCTTGGTTGAGAGGTCACCACAAAGTAACATCGGATGTACACCAACGGTAGGTACCACTGCTGCCGTGAGCGAACCGGAAGTTACACTGGCGAATAACAAACCCATCGAGACACAGACCAACGATGGCACGCTAACAGCCATCCTAAAGAAGATGGAAGAAATGGAAAATGAAAACAAGGCGCTCCGCGGTCAGATGAAGGAACATCAGGAGAGGGTCGACAAGATCCCCGGTGCTCCCAAGTTGCTACCAAAACGCGACGTGGGAAGGTTCGTTGAACAACCATACACTGAAGAAGCTGCCGCTCACTCCACCCCAAAAACCTTCAAGACCCCACCCTACTTGAGGGTATATGACGGAACCACAGATCCCGAGGATCATCTGATCCACTACATCACCGCTGTGAAGGGAAACGACCTATCGAAAGAACAGGTACCGTCGGTACTGCTGAAGAAGTTTGGCGAGACGTTGACAGGAGGGGCCTTAACATGGTACTCTCTGCTACCGGCTAAGGCAATATCAACGTTCGAGGAAATGGCGGATAAGTTCGTCACAGCCCATGCAGGCGCGAAGAAAGCGGAGGCCAGGGTCAACGACATCTTCGCCGTCAGGCAAAACACAGGAGAGGGACTCAGGTACTTCCTGGCAAGGTTTAACAGGGTAAGGATGAGTCTACCAAACGTATCGGAAGGTATGGCAGTCGCCGCTTTCCAGAACGGGCTTAGCAGAGATGGTTCGAGGGCAACCAAGAAGCTGCTGAGCCGCCTCATGAAATATCCCCCTACCACATGGGAGGAAATCCACAACGCCTATTGCGCCGAGGTACGAGCGGACGAGGACGATCTTAATGGGCCAACCCAACGGCTAACAGCGATACACTCGGAAACGAGGAGAGATCGACGGAACGAAGGACGACGAGAACAACTCCCCGCACCAACAGAGATCGACATCAGCCATACACCAGATTCTCACATCCGCCACCAAGGCATACAGACGCGCTACAGCGACATGTCGCCCCACTCCGAAACAAAGAGGTACGCCCCCTTTATTAACCGCCCATAAATTTTGTGTATCTCCTTCAGAAATAGTGTACGCACTGGAGAAGCTGGGCACCAAGGTGCATTGGCCGCAGAAGATGAAATCAGACCCTGCCACAAGGAAATCAAACGCCCTATGTGAGTTCCATCAGGAACGAGGACACAAAACCGAAGACTGCATAGGCCTACGGCAAGAGGTGGTCAGGATGCTGAACCAGGGATACCTGAGGGAGTCACTCAGTGACAAAGGGAAAATCAACTTGACGCGGACGGGAACAACCCCAAGGGCCGCCAAAGCCACATTCCCCAGCGCGCACGATAAACATGATCGTCGGAGGCGGCGACGAGTCAGTGATCAATCACGTCAAGTTCGCCACCACACACAGACTAAAGCGGACCATCGCCCATGAACGGTATGACGACTTCGAAGATAGTATCACCTTTGATAAGTCTGATGCCGACGATTTGGTCTTTACCCTC